GAAACTTACAAAGATCGATCCGTTTATGGTGTATTTTAGCTTGCAACGTGAAGTGGCTAAGTCTGCGAGGCGAAGACGTAGAGCTCATACCCGAACAAGCTTTAGTTCCACTGAAACCTAAGGATCTCCAGATTGCCAAGAAAGCCCAAAATTATCATTGTAACTCGGCACTTCTAGCCATGTAAAGTGTAGGCTTTGGGTTGCATTGTAGCCTTGAGATGGTGACAACAGAAAGCGAATGACAACGAAATCACTGATAAAAAATAAAAAAAACGAATTGCATACTCTTATGTTATTTAACAATCATAACAATGTGAAAACAACTCTACAAATAATGTTTACAATAGTCATATCCTCTCACCAAAATGGAATCAACAGAAGTACAAATGACAATTTGATTTTACTACAACAGAACTACTCCGGGTGATCCCTATATGAATTTAATTGTGAACTAGACTTATCTGCAAATGTACGAATCACGATGCAGAAATCTCAAAATCGGCTAAGAAAAAGAATGACCTCTCAATATTCTTTAACAAAATCTTCAGCCCCTCCTCGACCTGAGACTAGCTTTTTTTCCTTCCACCATGAAAGTTTTGCTGCCGTCCAGCTGCACACAAAATCAACAAATTCATTGCTTGCATAGACACAAAAAATTAGACAAGAAACTGAAAAATAAAAAAAATAAAAAACTCCAAATTCAGAAAGGGCATGCTGACCGAGCACCCCCTCAATAATAGTGAGATAAGTGCAACTTTACGAGGTCCAAGGATTTTATAAAAGCATTCTATGCCTCGTTTTTGTTCGCTTGTATTGGATTGGATTAGCCACTACATTCAATGTATGTTGAAGCAAAAAATGGATGTCAACTTTAAAATCTAGTCAAAGTTTCCTTCTATCTCTAATCCAACCTCTAATTTCAATTTGGACAGATTTAGAAGATGACATCCATTTCCCGCTTCAAGATACATTGACTCTTTTGAATTATCCAATCCAATCCAATACTAACCACCAAACGAGGCCATAATATTTCTTAGCTCAAACAAAAACAGAGACCATACCTTTTGTCTCAAGTAAGCAAGAGCATCTCTCTTTGAAGAAAAGTTCGAGAAAACAGAAGATGAATGTTCATCGATCAAAGCTTTCAACGTTTTCAGCTTCAGTGACTCTCCAGGTGCCTGGGCATGGAATAGAATTAGTGCCGGAGAAATTCTGCGAATCACAAGTGCAATTTTGGAGGACTCACCTGACGAACGAGCTGTTTACAAAGCTTTTTTAGCTTCATTTTTGGTTCATTGCTAATTTCCATTTTCAACAAGTCATCTTCTTTTTGTTTCACAGGGGAACCAAGATCAGTAGAATCTTCATCATCGCTATCATTAAATGAGGTCCTTTTCCCCTCAAAGTAGCAACCGGCTACTTTCTTTTTCCGGTCCTTGATGCCTAGTCCTTGCTTTCCCATTGTGGATTTATCCTGGAAACATAAGATGCGCACATAGAGATGGTCTTACCGATAATGCAACTCTTTTAAGTAATGCATGTTAAAGAAAAAGGATCCAACCAGGAAAGTACCTACCTGAACAAGATTGTAAAGATTTACTTGATCATCCTCGTAAAACATTTTTCTCTCATTACCATTTTCAGACATTTCTAATTTTCTTCTTTTCATCTCTGCTCCAAGCAAACCTCCACGGGTAAACCCATATTTATGGCCCCACCAATCTGAAGGAATTTCTTTGCATGCTTCTCCTGTAACGTGATAAGATCATTACACAAAACAATGGTTCAAGCAAGCAACCAAAAAGCACAACCATTAAAAATCTCATAAAACTTCATACAAAGATTTACTTTCTTTTAACACAGAAGAATCTAGCCTAAACTAAAACAGTAGAACGTGATGGTAAATTGTGGGCTGCTCATATTTAAGCCTTTTATAACATCACAGTTTAGTGAAAAACACTTCAAACTCAATATTTTAGAGAAAAGCCCAATTTACTTCATAACACCAAAGGTATTTGACAACTACGAATAAGTAGCATGACAAGTAGATAAATGAGGGTTGTTCTACCATTGATCTCTTGAAGTGTTTTTCTCTTAAACTTATAGTTGCTGAGGTGTTCTATCTAATTTACCATTAAATTGTAGATGCTCAACAAAATAAATATTATGGGGTCACCTTAAAGAGCATTCTCCAGCCTCAACAAAGGTTACTAAAGTATGGCTAACATAAGAGTTTCCGTGGTGGTGTTTCATGGATAACCCTAAACTTTTATTTTATTTGATTGGGCCTTGGGTGTCTCCCTTCCTAGCCCCGAGCTCAGAGAAGGAAGAGATAAGAGGGTCCTATGGGGAATGTGGTCAGAAATCCATAATAGAGTCCGACCACAACGACCGAATTGATTATGTTTATGCATAAAAACAAAGAATCAGGTATCATGGTAATAAAAACAAACAATCAGGTATCTGGTCCATTGATCGTAGGAGTCAACTCATGATTTGAACTACTAAATGCTTAACTTCCTTCTATGTAAATCTACTCCAGGTTATTACCTTCAGGGAAAATAACTTGAATCTCAGATGCCTTGTCTGACTCTACTTCTCCATCCAGATCGAAATTAATCCCTGGAGACGCTGCCCTTCTGACCTGCAGCATGCATGTAACACCACGGTTAGTAATGACATAAATGCACTCCCTTCTGACTACTCATTTTGCAAGAAATATTTTTCAGTAGTTAAATCTTACAAGGATTCCTTCAATATCCTTAGAAGAATAAGCATTGACAAGCTTTCCTCGTTCTCTTCTCCTATATCTGATATTCATAGACAACAGGCAGAAAATCAATAAAACATCTAGTAATGAAAAATCAATAATTTCCAAAGAATTAAAAACCAACCTTCCCTGTGGTCGAGTAGCCTTGGCAACTGGCTCCTTAACATCACGAGGCAATTCAGTATCACTTTCCTCTTGAGTAGCGTTCGCCTCACCAACTATAAGACAAACAAAGACAATACTCCTCAAACTACCATATCATAATTCTTCACATTCCTCAAATACAATACCCTAGTTAATCTCGGCACATACATACCTTCATCACTGGGTTGCGCTGCTTGCTGCCAATCAAAAGAAAAACTAACAAATAAACACCATATGCCACACGTCGGGAAAGATTAAAGCATACTTGAAATTGATTGAATTAGGTTTCAAGAAAATGTAAAAAGCTTACAACTTTCAATCTTTTGAGGATGCTATCGAATTGAGTCGTATCGAATGCCCATTGGTTAGGCTTCTCTACACCAACACCTATTCAATACAATCATATTAACACAGACCTACAATTTTTTTGTTTCCATTCACCAAAAACCAAATAATAATAAATAAAAAAGTTGCCATTTCCAAGTTAATTTCTTACTTCAAACAAGCAACTCAACAAGCAGAAAATTGAAATGATAACATATATATAAACACAAACACGTATATGTATATGTATATATAGAAAGAGATAGGACAAACCAGCATTGTCCTGCTTGTTTTTTACTCGTACGTAACCTTTGATCCCCTGCTTGTCTTTCCCAAGACCTTCTCCTTCTTCCCATCCCTATATTTACAAAACCCCAATTAGTAATTAACTTCAGTAAAAATAAAAGCCCAATTAAAATGGAAAAGAAAATTTGAAGAGCATGTGGGATTATACTGAAGAGAGGCAGGGGAGCACCATTTGTTTCATGAGGCGGAAAGCGGCAGACTTTCTGGCGACCCCAACGTAACAGAGAGGGGCTTCGGGGGCGGCCATGGTTAGGGTTTTGCTTCTCTGATTCCGGCGACCCACCAGCCACGATCTGCGGCCGTCTCTGTTTTTGTTCCGGGTGTCGAGGAGTAAAGAGAAAAAGGAAGTTGCGGAGCGAAAGCTCCAAACCTAACGGAGGAACTCGGGGACTGCGATGGTGCGGTGTTCGGTGGAACACAATACGAGGTCGTTTCGGGTTATCCAACTTGTTTGGGTTGGGTTTCGGACTCGCGAGTCAAAATATAGGTACAAAGGTTTGGGCCGTTTGGCATTCAAATATGGTTTTGGAACATAATTCATAATTTCTGAACGGGTTTTATTCGCAACTCACATCTCACTTTTCCACCCCCTAAATAAGGTTTTGACATCTCTTCATCTACAAATAACTCTCGAAGTGAAAGTATACGTTGGTCTCTGAAATTTGAATACAAAAAAGTGGATCAGCAGGGTTCCAAACGAATTGGCTTATTCGGAAAAGTCTTGTTTTTTGAAATATCTATCTCGTGTCTGGTAATGCATGATTCTACTCTGCAAAGAACTCCGATTCATTTTCCTGAAGCCCATCCACTTCATCATAAATGATCTGCTTAACCCAAAATGGTGAAAGTTGAATTTCACCATAACTAAAATTTGAATTTTGTGAGACTTTCATACGGTTTGGATCAAAACTAATTATTTTCTTTACATCTTTTTGGACTTTATTAGCCCAATTACAACATAAAATTTCATTATTGCTAAATTATCCTTATATTCAATATGTGACCAAACTTCAAAGTTTAGCAACAAATATAGTTACAACTCAAGAATCAATAACTTCAAAGTTCTATCAACCTTTAAATTCGACATCCTTCTCTAATTATTAGCCAATAAGAGAACTATACAAGTGAAATAAATATATAAGATGTCGGTTTGATTCGATTTATAACCAATTTACAAAAAACAAAAAAAAAAATCAAAAACTCAGAATTGTAACCAAACCAATTGACTACAGTTCTGTTGAATTTTGAACCGTTTACTTTTTTTTTATCAAAATCAAAATCAAATGGCCATTACAATTTTGAAATAGAATTTAAACTTATACCGTCATGCAAAGCTCAACACTTATTCACAGTTTGTGATAAGGGGCATGTGAGTTCAAATGTACTATTTATGTCAGTAGCTGAGCCAACAAATAAATCTAGCCAAAGTTTTTAAAATCTCAACCACCTTAGGACGATAAACAATGAAAGAATTATTCATCCTTTACAAATTAGGACAGTGGGTGGGAGAGGTGGCACAACACAAAGGACATAGGGTCCTCCTGCCCTTCCTATATAAACATGGCAAACAATCACCGGACGCACCTCTGCTTCGCCAGCGTGTTCTAGAACCCGCGTGTCCCTAGATTGAGGTGCATTTTTGATGGGGTCTTTGTTCGGTGACTGGCCGTCGTACAACCCTCACAACTTCAGCCAGCTCCGACCATCCGATCCTTCAAACCCTTCTGTGAGTTTTCACTTTCTGAAATTCTGAATCAAACCCCTTTTTCTATATTCAAGCTGAATAATCGTGCAGAGATTTCGTTTTTGTTGAAGTTCTTGATTTTTTTCTGAATTGGGTAGTTCTTAATTCAGTTAAGGGTGAGGAATTCTGGTTTTTCTGTCTGCATCAAGTTTATTTCTGCGACCTGTTTGAATTTCATAGGAAATTTGGAGTGATTTTTGTAATTAATTATAACTAGGAGATTTTTGTGCAGATTTTGCTTCTATGTTTATGGTAATTGATGTTGCAGCAATGTCGTTGTAATTTTGTAATGGTAAGGTGTGTGTAGCTTAATATAAATATAGAATTTCAGGTCATAAATTTACCACTTTTGTTGAATGTCACAATCCTGAAATCGGCTTAATGATATTTGGTTAAGATAGTGCGACTGTTTGGAATTGGATCATCGTCTTGAATTATGCTATATGTTTGATTTTGTGATCAATGAACAATAAGCTGTTGTTGCTTGTGATTTGTAATATTTGGCTCTAAATTACGTACGATATTTCTGTTAATCACTTCACTGATCTCTAAAAGTTTCACTTCACTGATCTCTAAAAGTTTCGTGCTTTGTTATTGCATTGATCTTATATAAGTGTAATTATCAAGTTTGGTGCTTTGTTCCAGTTACGATATACTGTACTGTATTGCTCAATTCTCATAGAGTTCGTAAGAATTTTGAAATCAGAAGCATAATTCATAGCTATGCAATATCTCATAATTTTTAACATTCAGATTGAAGTTACTTGGTTAATTTACCATTTGCATGAAGCTGTCACTGGCTTTCTTAGTTAAGGTAGAAATACTAGCATTTAAAGAGCATCCTAAATTAGTTTTGCTTTCCTTAATCTGGGCTATAGAGAATATCCCCGTAACCTGTTAGATATAAGGCGCTTTTCTTGTCTTCTGATTGGCGAGTTCTTGTCAAAACCAACCCAAAACCAAAACCAATTGGTAACGGGTGGAGAGACCTTATTCAAGTTTAAAGTGTGAGATGTGTGGTTACTATATTCTCATCATTGCCCTTCACGTATAGTGGAACTAAGTCCAACATGTGTGGTTAGCTATTTTAGGGCACATGAAGTGTGTGTGAACAAATCGGGCCTGGCACGGAATGAATTGTCCACTGCCATGTTTAATTTTCAACATAAACATCTAGTGCTTGAGCTTTTTCTGGAAATGGTTGATATGTGCTATAGCTTGGAAACTGAATTTTGGATTTGTTTCAAACCAATTGAGCTGGCATTGTGGGCCACTAGGACATAATCTCTGAAAACGTTACAATGTTACAAACATAAAAATATAGTAAGTCGGAGAAAATTACACGTGCTCTTTACATCTCATACTCTAATTATAGAGAGAAGCACGATTTTTGGTAAAGGGTTGTTTCGTGATGATTCTGAGTCATACGTTCATACATTCTGGTGGGTATCAGCCATTGTTTGCCTTGAGTTAGTGTTGATGTGGTGAAACGAGCCTATCTAATGAAAATTATCTCTCTGTTCCAACCACGAGACCAGTATATATTTGAGCTTATATTCTGCTAATAGAATTATAAACAATTTAATTACAGCTGAAGAGTGCTGGCTGCTTTGCCGTTGGACCTGCTTTTGGTCACGGCCCCAGATTAGGATGGAATGTTCATTGCTCAAGTAATATTTATAGCCTTTCGTGGGTCCCTAGGGTACTCGTAGATGCATCTTCAAAAACTGAAGGGATATAATCAATCTAATTATTGTTTTCTTGTTCTTTTAGCAGCCAAAAGGAAAAAGGAAAACGAGAAGATGTTATGAGTTATGCTATGATGTAAATTGATCAAAGTCAAATGCATTCTTTTCTTCTTTTTAAGTAATGCTTCCATTTTTGTCTGTAGAAAATGACACCTGCAACCTACTATCCTACTCACGACCGGACTCTTCCGCCACCTGATCAAGGTATTAATGAATTTGCATTTCCCTAGTGTTTCATTCTGGATTGTTATTCTTTTCTATTATTTCCCTACTTTTCCCATTTCTGTTGATTAATTTTCCTTTCCGTGTTGTATTATTGTGACTCTTTAAGAAAGGTCCATTCTAGTTAGTTAAGCTTTTTAAATTAAATCCTGAAAACTGGAAGTGGATCTGTTCTGGACGTGGTTTTGACTCTAGATGTTCTTTAGGCAATGCGAAATCGTGTAGTTTGACAACGTGAAATTGACCTATCAAAACCCCTTTGCAGTGATAACTAATGAAGCCAAGAATATCCTTTTGAGGCACATGTATCAGCATTCTGAAGAGAAGGTAAGTGATCAGCATTATATCCGCACTTCACGCCCGGTTTCCCCCTTTTCACATGAATGCTTACATACATACACATGATTGAGAGAGAATGAGAGAGAGAGAGGCTTTCTTCTAGTTTTTCACGAACTTTTTCATTGCAGTTGAGACAAAAGAGGGCAGCGCCCGAAAAACTCTCACCGGAGCCTGTATGCAAGCAACGCAGGTATTCTGTCTCAGATACTGCCCAATAAGCTAAACTGCCTCTGGCACTTACCAAATGGGCATGACTTGTTTGATGCTGAAAATTAGAAGCTCAAGCAAACCCATCAATGTGAATAGTATTGTCAGTGTCAAGATGCACGGTGTGTGCCTCGTCGCAGATAGAAGGGGTTAATGCTTGCGCGTTTGTGTGTGTAAACCAAGTTATACAGCTTAAAAAGGAATGAAATCGTTAGATACGTGCTTTGCTTTATGTTCTCTTGCCTTAGCACCATTGGGTTTGTTTGGTATAGAGATTGGATTGGAATGGATAACCCTCTAAATTCAAGGTGTTTTGAAGGTAGAAGGGGAATGATTTTTCAATGAGGGGATTAAAGGGGATTAGACTTGAAGAAAACTTATCCCTTGTAATTCGCTCATTTCGGAAGGATTGGAATGGAATGGACAGTTTTTCTTGTAGAGTAATCAAAATCTCCTACCACCAAGTTTGCCACATAATTTTCATTCCTTTCAAACATATCGTGAAAATAGTTACTTATCCATTCCAATTCAATCTTGTATACCAAACAATGTCATTGAGAGAGGAACCATGTTCCTCGCAGAAAATGAATGCATAAATTTAGGTGCAGAAATGATTCTTCTACGAAATGGGTTCATATTACCTCTATCTCAGAGTCGCTTGACGAGATGATTAAAGAGGGGTTCATGTGAACTTGTGATAAGCAAATTTTCCTCATGAAAGTGTAGACATCGAAATTTCAGTAAAACAAATGTTCACCAACGCATTAAAGTTTTGACATGTCAGGGCATACATGGCATACGCCACATGTCGTACAAATTGTACACATGGCATGTAACTCAACAAAATAGGAAGAAATACCCTTGGATGATTAAACAAGTTTTTTCTTCTCAATTTGGGCAATGACAAGGTAAGCACATTTCAATCCATTGAGGATCAAAACAAGTTTCTTTTCTCATGTTGGGCAATGACAAGGCAAGCACACTTCAATCCATTACGGATCAAAGCAAGTTTTTCTCATTTGGGCAATGACAAAGCATACACATTTCAAGTTTAAAATGGTTTTAAGTGGGAAATTAGGTCATAAGTTAGACCACTTCAAATTTAAAATGGTATTAAGTGGGAAATTAGGCCATAAGTTACACCACTTCAATTTCAATATTGCATTAAGTGGGAAAATTAGGCAATGGTGCTTGGAAAGGAAAAAAATATTTTGTGGTGGTGATTCATTCTCAAAGCCTATAAATAGGCTTCTCCATCAAGGTATCAAGCATCAAGGAATTCACAAATACATTTCTTTACTCCAAAATTAGAAGAGAATTCCCCAAATCCTTGAAGCTTTGAAACTCCAAAGCTTCCAACCATCCAAATTCCCAAGAATTCCGAAGAATCAAGAAAGCTCTCTTCGTTCTTCGTTAAATCCTCTTTCAAGATCAAGCCCCGACGGTCCTTGAAGAAAGTGTTCATCCGTTCATCCTAAGCATAAGCCCCCAACGGCCCTTTGGATCAACAACCTCAACAAATCCACACCTCCAATCGTTCTTCAAGATTAAGCCCAAAAGCCTTTGAAGATCCGCTCATCCATCAACCTTTAAGATCAAGCCCAAAAGCCCTTGAAGAAATCCACACAACCATTCTTCAAGATCAAGCCCCGACGGCCCTTGAAGAAAGTGTTCATCGTTCATCCTAAGATCAAGCCCCAACGGCCCCTTGGATCAACAGCACAAACAAATCCACACATCCAATCATTCTTCAAGACTAAGCCCAAAAGCCCTTGAAGATCTGCTCATCCATCAACCTTCAAGATCAAGCCCAAAAGCCCCTTGAAGAAATTCATACACTCATTCTTCAAGATCAAGCCCAACGCCCCTTGAAGATCCGTTCATCAACTGTTCATCCTTAGATCAAGCCCCGACGGCCATTTGGATCAACAACTCATCCACAAACCTACACCCTACGAAGATAGAATCAGAGGACCAAATTTGAGAGAGATCGTAACCCCAAAATCATAAACATAAAAATATTATTTTGTACACGTTATTCTGGTTTCTTGTTTCAAAGAATCTTTCGTGTTCACATAAAGAAAATAAACATACCAACATACAAGGCTTGTTTGCCTTTGTACTTGGCAATTTTACACTGCCAAAATTGTAATTATTATTCTCCAAATCAATTTCCAGAAATGAAGATAACAAAATTGGTTCATCCTCCATCCATCCATGGATTAAATCCTCCGTTGCTAAGTCCATATTCGCCGATTCATAAGCCACCATATTACCTTCGCGTTGCTGTCACCGGCAGAAAAAATGATGACAAGAAACCCAGCGTCGTATGTAAAAACCAATCCCTATTTTGCTGCCAACAATTTTGTTGTCAAAGCATCGAAACAACCATGAATCTGTTTCGAGCATCAAATCCTTACCTTATTAATAAATAATTTCCTTACCAAGTTCGGAAACTGAAGAATATGCCACTGAACACTCGAATTTCAGTTGAGACAAAAAGTGGGTCCCGCTGGCTCAGCTATAACGAACACTGACGGAAACCAGATACACAAGAACGCCGTCGTATCGAGTCCTGTGCCAGAGCTCCAAACCTTCAGCTATGGCCATGGCACCTACTCCAGCGTGCGCCTCCTCAATCACCACCGCCACAACCACCAAGCCACTCGCCCACTCTCTTCCTCGCTCCCACCTCCCCGCCCTAAACCCCTACAGCCTTCAACCATCCTTGACTCCTCTGTCTCTCCGAACCCCCAAAACGACGCGCACGCCTGTATTTTGCGCCTCCGCGAGCACGACCTTCGAGGTCGCCCAGGTCCCGGCTCCCGCCACTCCGTCCAAGCTCTTGCCTTTTCGGGTCGGGCACGGGTTCGACCTGCACCGGCTGGAGCCCGGGTACCCTCTGATAATCGGCGGCATCGACGTACCCCACGATAGAGGCTGCGAGGCGCATTCCGACGGTAATTCCTCCATTAATCTGCTTTTTCTTCCTGTAATTTCACTTTTTGTATTTAAAGTAGCAAACTTTGGATTCAATTTTGAATTTTCGAATTGATTTTTGCGTGTGTAGGAGATGTGTTGCTTCACTGTGTGGTGGATGCGATATTGGGGGCGTTGGGGCTTCCGGATATCGGGCAGATATTCCCGGATTCGGATCCTAAGTGGAGGGGTGCAGCTTCCTCTGTTTTCATCAAAGAAGCTGTAAGTTATCCTCCTCCTCATCGTTCTTGCTGGTTTTGATTCATTTGAGCTTTTTTCGTTGAGTTTAAGGTTTCATTTAGCTTGCGGGTGTGTAAACCTTATGTTTTGGGTTCTCAGTAATCATTACTTTCGATGAATTGTAACATTTGGGATGAAAAAAATCTGATTGTGTGCTGGTTATGATATGAACAAATAATGGGAAATGATTTCCGCATACTTTAGTTTTTTCTGCACATGCACACCCTTATTTATTTGTGTCCTTTGATTCTCTTTGAATCCGAAGGTTAGAAATTAACAAAGGTGTGTAGAAAGGGAAGTCAAACTAAGCAGTAAGCAATATAGTTGAGGGCTTTGAATTGTGTGATCGTGATAAATATTTGGAGGACTACAACAAATTGTCAAAATTATTAGAAACTTCTCAAACGAAAGAAAATTTCAGTCTTTTCCGATAAGATTGCATTCAGAAACATTGAATACAATAAGAATGTATTAGAACATTGAACCTTGAGTCCAGGGAACTGCTCGGCCCCAAGACCCGAACTTTGAGTTTGAGGTGGTCAGAGCTCCAGTTCAAGTACTGGACCTCAGGGCCCGAGGTCTTGACCCTATATTCTGTCCGGACTCCAGAGCTTCTTCTGCCCCTGGAGTCCAAATACCTGCTTAGAGTCTCAAGTCTTGAGTGATGTAGGAGCATGTACGGGCATTGGTCCAAAGCATGGATTGCCTGTTCTGCTCGAATATCCAGTTTCACGAGCCTTCCAACCTCGGGGACTCAAATCTGAGTCTCAAGACTTTGGTCATGGCTGCAAAACTTGTCATGGACCACTATCTTCATGCATTTCATGGTTTAAAAAAATAAAAATAAAAAATCATTTTCCTTAATACGGAAAACTGTTGTAACTCTGTCAAAACAGACCATGAGTTGTTGAATGATTGATTATACATGGCAATTGCAAGGAAGAATGTAAAAGAAAATGTATTTAATATGTAAGAGTGCTTATATTCTGTGATATGGTATAATTTCAGGTGAGATTGATGCACGAAGCAGGTTATGAGATTGGAAACTTAGATGCTACTTTGATTCTTCAAAGACCGAAATTAAGCCCGCACAAAGAGGTTATGAGGGCCAACTTAGCTAAGCTGCTTGGAGCAGACCCCTCCATTGTGAATCTCAAAGCTAAAACTCATGAGAAGGTGGACAGTCTTGGCGAAAACCGAAGCATTGCAGCTCACACAGTGGTTCTTCTTATGAGAAAGTAAAAAGAGGCCTTTGATTGCAGTTCTGAAATCGTGGCAATTGTAGTTTATCATGGCTGTTGTATGCCGCTGTGCTGCATACAACTTATAGGTAATCAATTTATGTACTCGACACGACTGTGCATCTGAGAAATCACATATATGAAAAGTTATTTCTCTTGTTCTGGATTTCTTTGCAACTGTCATCATATTTCAACATGATGCAAGCATGACATGATATATAATCGGTAACAGATTAATTTTTCCGTCGGCAAGCTTTGGACTTGAAACCATGTGTTTTGTTGCTGATCAAACAAACACGTGCAGAAATTTGCTTGCAAAGGCCAATCAGTTTGTCAAATTTGAATTCACTTATGCTTTTATGAGTCGCAAGGTAAGCACTTTTAGATTGTGATAGTCGTTTTTGGTATTGCTTAGTCGACTTGGACGTTGGAATGGAATCCAAAAGATTGAAATGCATTGAACCTGATCTGACAGATTCCAATTTTTCCATGTTTATCAGTAGGCTTGGAATGGAGTTGAAAATATTGAAGCTTTTAAGCTTGCCATAATGTTTTGGTTGATTATACCAAAGAAAAAACTTGGTATTTAAATTCATAATTAAAAGATTGAAAAGAGAAAATTAAATCTTTTGGTGGTGGCATGGCTCATGTCCATCGGTGTTTGAGAGGCTTGGGCGTAGTCCAGTTGACTAGAGAAGTGTGTTTTTTCTTCGGCATCTAAGTTTGAATATGCATTCATATAGTTTAGGTTTTTTTTTTTCTTTAGACCAAC